ATCTAATAAACCATCTTGTTAGTCTTTAAAGTGCTACATAGTCCTGTATTTTGTTTCAGCTACACCAGACTAACACGGCTACATTTCTATCACTATTCTACACAATTTAGTTATTTCTATTACTACTCAATTTAGAATAGTGATAGAAATGTAGCGGTGTTAGTCTGGTGTAGCTGAAGCAAAATACAGGACCATGTAGCACTTTAAAGACTAACAAGATGGTTCATTAGATGAAAACCATCTTTGTTAGTCTTTAAAGTGCTACATAGTCCTGTATTTTACTCAATTTACAACTTTTAACAGATAATTAACTGATAACGGGAAAAAAAGAACTAAGTACTAGCAGTGTTTTGCTGCTCCAGGGGCCTGTGATAAAAGTATTATTTTGTGATTTCCTATGTATACAGGTGGGGGGCAGAAAGGTACCAGTGCTGCTCCAGGGGCCTGTGATAAAAGTATTATTTTGTGATTTCCTATGTATACAGGTGGGGGGCAGAAAGGGGTGGTAGGAGACTACCATATGCTGTATTACGGAAACATAATTGATATAAATATATGCCAATTAATAAATTAATTTACAAAGGAAAGCCAGAGATGGGAATAGACTGTGGTCTAAGGTTTCCCAAAAAAGTTATCTGCAAGGTAATGTCAGGAAATACAGATCAAATCAGCAGGTTCTTACTAGTGCCTGAAAGTTTAGTTATCAGAAATGTGAGGAAACAAGAGCACTGGCTTGATTTAGGCCCGCCATGAAAACCTGACAACAAACACTTCCCTACATCTCTGCAGATGCATCCCATGTGTAGCCTGAAGCACCCTGCTATTCTACTACCAGGCCGCTCTTATGCATCAATAATCCATGCTTCTGAGTTTGTGCAGTAATTTTGTGATGTGCAAAGTTTGGCCAGCATAGGAAGGGTTGTTTCATTTTTGTCTTAAATATATTTTTAACCTATCAGTATCCAAATAAATGTATCATGTTTTGAAAACAAACACCTCACTTTTTAGTTTCTATCTGCTTGTCTCTGTGCATCTAATATATCAACCATTATGACATCTAGCATTATGCTATGAGTACTTTCTATGCCTTGATTTTCTTTCTGAAATATTATTCGGTATTTCTACTTTGTATTTAAAAAACACTTTGGCTGAAAAAGCAACTCACAATCCTTCTGCAATGCACTCCAGCAAAAGTACATTTCCCCTCAGTTCCACTTTAGTACTTGTGCTCCCCACTGGAGTTAAAAGTGCCGGTCGTCTCTCTGTCAATGGCTTGGCTGATTAAAAAAATTAGAATAATGAAAATAATCAGAAACATATATTGTAAACATATTTCCCGTCCCAGCAAGAACCCATATGCTTGTAATACATATGAAAGCTGACAAAAACATATGTATAGTCATGTATGATGATAGTGTATTTATTAATATTAAAATATGGGCTTAGTTTCATGCATATGGCCATTTCAGAATTTAGCACAGGAATTTTTCTGTGTATTGTTCAATTTAATTAAAAAATCCTTTTGTAAGAATTGCACAGCTACTAAGGGTTAGGGTTTTGGCCAACATGCTAGACTCTTATGAGGCATTTAATTTTGGACACATACATTAAAAACAGCCAACATGTTTGATATTCTTGCTTAGGCTCTGATGCTGCAATTTGATGGGTTCATACGGACTCTTACATCTGTGAAGAGCTCCATTCACTTCACCTTGGCTCTGCATAGGGGAAGGGGTCCATCTATATGGATCATATTACAGGAATTGCATTCAATAGCTAATGTTTTCTGTACTTCCACCAGTAGTACGAATAAGACACAGAAAAAAACTGAACCAAAGTAAACCTGTTGTATTGAAAAACCATGAGTAACCAGATATATTTCAGTTTAAAATATGCTTTGCTCAGCATCTTCCAGTTCACAAAGAACTTTTCTCATAAACCTCACCCATGTTTTGTCCTTTTAAAACGTAATTTTCATTTGAATGTTTCTGCAAACCTGAACTGTATGATCAATTCCTTTCTCCATGACAATAAAAATTAAATCACATGGCCAATATACAGTCATACATCTAAACCCAAATTTATATACAGATTACTATATCTGCTTCCACAACCTTTGGGACTTCTTGATTTAATTCAAAGACTATTGCATACTCCATTTTAGAATTTTAATTATACAGAAATCAAATCAAAGTGTTTTCTCAAAATGAACTGTTATAAAAATACTCAAGTACAGGCAGTCCCCGGGTTACGTACAAGATAGGGACTGTAGGTTTGTTCTTAAGTTGAATCTGTATGTAAGTCGGAACTGGCGTCAGCTGCTGCTGAAACTGATCAGTTTCAACCGCGGCTGAATCTGGATGCCAGTTCTGACTTACATACAGATTCAACTTAAGAACAAACCTACAGTCCCTATCTTGTACGTAACCCGGGGACTGCCTGTACTG